GTGGGAACCCCATGAGGTCAAGTAGTACCAGCCCATGATCTTATCCTCCTCAGTCGCTACCTTGGGGATGTAGAGGGTTTGGAATACAGAAAAAGGCATCTCTACCCCAGGCGATGCCTCCTTCCACAACATCTAAGAGCCCACCATTTAGCTCCAGGAGTTCGGGTTCAATTGGGTAAGAGCTAAGCCGTATGACCTAAGTACCATATGGAAGAAATGGTGGATTGGGAGCCTAAGGCCAGGCCTAAGGATCACCTCGCTGATTGCCATGCACCCTAGCCTAGGGTAGCAGGCCCGCTCATCAGGTTCAGGTAGGATCAGATCTACACTATTTGGGATCCTATATTCAGCTCTAAGTCTTTCCAGGTCGGCACCCTTTAGCTTAGAGGGGTAATCCGACACCCCCTAATGCATAGATGTGTCTACTGGGCTATCTGGTCTCTTCCATATGTTCTTCCCCCCAATAATCGCTTCGGCTATTTGAGAGGAGGTCGCAAAAATGGGCCCGTCCATCCTCATTCCAACCCCCTCCCCGAGCTACCACTACCCTCAGAAGCCATTTTCAGAAATGAAAAGTTTCAAATACTTATTGAAACTTTCGAAATGGAGGGTCCCACAGCCGAAAATGGTCAAGAAACAACGTAAGTCGTCGAAAATTGGGATTTCTCATCGGAAAGTGCTTGAATAATGTTGAAAAATGCAAAGATTTTGAGAGCAAATGGGGTTTTTGATTTCGCAAAAGTGAAAAGCTCAAAAAATGCTCAAGTCCGCCTTTAATAGAGCATCCCAGCTAATCTCCGCCGTTGAATTCAAATGCAATCAATCTAGATCGTCCGTCGCATCATCAATTTAGGTCGTTGAAATGAAACGTCAGATTTGATCTACGCCTAAGATCTAGCTATGACCTTTACGCTCACGCGAAACGCGTTGCCTCGATCACCATCAGCCGTCAACAATAAGTAGCCGCAACAGCCTTTTCTGGGAATAGGCATCACACCCAACTGTCACCTTGGAAATAAGCGATAGCTGTCAAATCATTTAATGTCAGAGATGTCCGCATTAGATCGAGCTCTTCACTCAGCTTTACAAAGCTTAGACACACCTGACGCGGAGTCCCCTATGGGTCATCGCCTCGGTAGCTACATTCCTTCCTAAGCTTTATAAAGCTTCAGCCATCTCCCAATGCGTCGTCCCCTGTGGGTCAGCGCACCAGTGGCAAATGAGCTCTTCACTCAGGTTTACAAAGTTTAGATGCACCTGACGCGGAGTCCCCTGTGGGTTATCGCCTCGGTAGCTGCGTTCCCTCCTAACCTTTACAAAGCTTTAGTCATCTCCCAACATGTCATCCCCTGTGGGTCAGTGTACCGGTGGTAGATGAGCTCCTCACTAAGCTTTAAAAAGCTTAGACGCACCTAACGCGAAATCTCCTATGGATCATCGCCTCGGTAGCTGCATTTCCTCCTAAGCTTTACAAAGCTTTAGCCATCTCCCAACGTGTCGTCCCTGTGGGGCAGCGCACCGGTGGTAGATGAGCTCCTCACTAAACTTTACAAAGTTTAGACGCACCTGATGCAGAGTCCCATGTGGGTCATCGCCTAGGTAGCTACGTTTTCTCCTAAGCTTTACAAAGCTTTGGTTGCCTCCCATTGCATTGTCCTATAGGGCAGCACATCGGTTACAGATAAGTTCCTTCCTTAGTCAATGATAAAGCTTTATCGCATCTATCAAAAATATTTCCCGACCTACATCTCTTCGGTAAAAATGAAAAACCAACCCGCAAGCTCTTACAAACCAAGGTTCATGTCTGAGGCAGACATACTCGATTGGGAAAACAAGTCCACCCATGATATAAATATTAATGCCTAAACTTGGGGGACCACTGTTACCCTCCTATCCAAACCACTTCAGAGAGTCACGAGGTGTTAAGCACCCATCCGAAGTGGTTTCCAAGTGACTTCACCACCAATATTATTGATTTGCTAACGCACTATGAGGCATAGACAATTCTGCTGAATCGATCGAAGCGTCCTCGCCCCTCAAACTGAGGTGCACTCCGAGGACCTCTGCCAGGATCCGTCGCCAATTTCAAAAAGTGATATATGTCAGGATCCTTTCTGCCCCTAAGGTTTAATTGATTTAGCATCTCCATGAGCCTAGTTGATGTGACGTATCAACTTTATATCGATTAAACTCGGGAGAAGTAATTACCCGTCCACTCTATAGATGCGGCTGATTGACGCCCATGAGTAGAGACCTCACACCGCCAGATGCATACACGTGTCCCACATTCAATGGTTCTCTCATCTATAAATACCCAAGGTTTAACAAGAGACAGAGGTAATGAAACTCTTACAACATAGCTTTCCATAACAAGCAAATATATATTTTCCTCCCCACGATTTTGCACAACCTTGTTATTGTTCTGATTGCTTGAGGCTAACTTGACCGTAGGAGTGTATGCGGCCGCCACCACCTCCGCTGGTTCCGGCCGTGTGCATCTGACAGTGCGTTGATTGTGCGTAGGGAGGAATATGTGGAGTAGCTATCGGTTGGCCACATGGAGGGTCTAATTTGTTAGGTCAACAATCGAAGTGCTGGGATTCATTATTTCATTAATCGATGCCCAATTAATATCACAATAAGCATTTTAGTGTCCGACCAATTTCAAATAATCAACTCAATTTTCCTAATTTAGCTAACTCTCTCGATCTCAAATTAGCACATATTGTGTGATTGACCTATTATATCTCTACGTTCAACGTAACCAATCACGTTAAGGCGGTAAGAATTGTTAAACGGTTCACCGAAAATTGTGAGTATATCTTTATCTCTAACAAAAATTTAAGGTGATTGTTATTGGATCTGAATAACCTCTCGAAAATCACACAAATCACTAAACATTCATCTATTGATGAAACAGATGTAAATGAAGTCAATTAAATCATAACATAATGAAAATGGATTGACTAGAATTAAAATGCTAAAGTTAAAATTAATTGAACTAAATTCAAGTTGCATCAATCATTCAAACATGCTACAAATTAGCCTACCATGTAAAGACAACTACATAAGGATTTAGAGATACATTGGAAATTAGTTGGAATAAAGGGAAATTAAAAAAAAAATCACTTGGAACCATCCTTAGGGGGATTTTCGGAGTATAATGGAGATTTTGTCTTCACTTTTATTATTGCTTGTTTTCATCTTACTCTCTCTCGATTTAAAGCCTCCTCCCCCCCCCCCAAAAGTCCTATAGATTAAGCCAAAAAAGTGCCATATACCCTCTTGTAGTTGTTTTAAGGAAATGTCATTAAAGTCTCAAAAATGCCCTTCTCAAAAATCGAGTCTTGATGATTTCCAATACAAGCTTAGCAACTTTTTCACCTCCATTTGAGCATCTCGGCTGATATTGGACATCGCTAATTACCAACAACAACTAACAAGATATGGGTTCTGTTGCCAACCCACACCACCCGTGGGCATACAACACCCATGCTAAGATGTCAACCCCCTAGGCGCTCTACACCCATGTCGGGCGTCAACCCTCATGGGCACTTCACACCCATGCCGGGACATCGACCCCCTAGGCGCTCTGTGCCTACGCCAGATGTCGAACCCCTGGGCGTGCTATACCTATGCCGGGATGTCGACCGCCATGGGGCTCATCACCACTACGCGGCCAATACAACACTTGGCCAAAAAACACAATTTGGGTAGAGATCACACGGTTGTTAAGAACACGACTAGTAGTTGAACGGGCGGAGGTTACCCACTAAGAACATGGGAGCAGTGGAAGAGGTTACGTGGGACACGTGGCACCATATCCGCCCGGCCTTCACATGACTGCAATCGCCTATAAATACTCCAAAAGGTGAAATAGATAAAGATCTTGGAAAAACTTTGGTTATTTGAATATCTCCTTTTTCGTTTCCTAATTCTCCACAATTAGATACTAATTCTCACGCCGGAGGTACAACGGGGAAGAAAGCCCCGACCTCACTTTTTCAAATAACAATTGGTCATCCAAACGGCGGAAGCACCCCACACCGCCAGGAGGGCACGGAGGTTCTTTTCTTAACCATTTCATTGGCGCCGTCTGTGGGAAACATTTGAACTAAAAAGCTATGTCGAGAAGACGAACAAAGAGTGATACTTGGTTGGTTGGGAATACGGTGGAGACGGAGTCGATGTCAGTTGCAAGGGGTCACAAACCACCGCCGCCCCCGCAATATATGACACAGAGTTAATTCAGCACTTTGGAGACTCAGTTGGCAACAATGATGGTGCTCTTACAAAACCAGTCACAGAGAGCCGCAGTCCCCCCATTGAGCCTGACAGAAGTGACAAACCAGCAGCTTCTCAAGCGCCATCCGTTGTAGTCCCACCCATCGTTCAGTAGGCGACGGGAGATTCGGGGGCTTCGGTGGTCGTAGCTTAGCAACCCCCGCAGGCCATGGTGGACCTGGGAAAAAGATGAAAGAAATCATGGCCCAGAAGATAAATGATGCACTGTCCAAGAGGAAAGATAAGCGGAGGCAGATGGTTTTGGAGGAAGATCCATTTGACCCTAAGATCATGGCGGTCCCCTTACCTAAAGGCTTAAAACAACCCATGATAGAAGCATATGACGGAGTCACGAATCCGCTTGACCACCTGCAGACCTTTGTAGATCTGATGAGATTTTACGCGACCCCGGACGCAGTGATGTGCCGGTCCTTCCCCCCATACTCAGGAGGGAGGCCAGGGACTGGGTAACAACCTTGGCCCCGTGGTCTATCAAGACATTTGATGAGCTCTCCAGGAGCTTTGTGGCTTACTTCTTAAGCAGCAAGAGGAAGAGGAAGACAGCCATTGGGTTGATGCATGTCGTATAGGAGAAGGACGAGTCATTGCAGGAATACTTGGCTAGGTTTAGCCGGGTGACTCTTAGCATAAAGGACTTGCAAATGTCCGTAGTGGTTACTGCCTTGATGAATAGAACGTGAAATCAGGCATTTAAGATGTCACTCTCCAAGAATACCCCGGAGTCGATGCATGACCTGTTGAAGAAGGGAGACAAGTACGTCGATGCGGAGAAAGCGGAGAAGGTAACTAAAAATCTCAGGGATGGATGGGAGACGGAAGCTCATAAGCGAAAGACAAATGATGAGCGGAGGCACGCTGATAAGAATAAGCCGAAAAATGAACACATGAACAAGGGTTATACCCATGACCGGCCGATCAAGCAGAAGGGAGAGGAGGTACAAGTACCCACCCCTTTGAACATCCCACGTACAAAGTTATTGATGGAAATACAGTACATGAAAGAGCTCAAATGGCCTAAATCGATGCTGACTCCCTCTAGCAAGAGAAATCAAAGTAAGTACTTCCATTTTCATAAAGATCACGGACATGATATTGAAGAATGTCTGCAGTTGAATGAGGAAATTGAGCGCTTACTAAGGCGGGGGCTATTGGCTAAGTATGTAAAAAATGATAGGGGCAAGCAAAGGCTCGAGGATCTATCCCCGGCAAGGGTAGGAGTGATAAACATGATCATTGGGGGTGTAGCATTGGGCAGCGACTCAAATTTTGCTAGAAAGAGCTATGCGCGTTTTGTGGGGGTCTGCTCAATCCAAAAAAAAGTAAGGTTCAACCAGAGCATTACTTTCGATGAAGAAGACTTGATCGATATAACGCATCCCCATGATGACGCGTTAGTGATAGTAGGCGATATGGCAGATTTTAACGTGAAGAGGGTCCTAGTTGATGGGGAAAGTGCGGCGAACGTCCTCACCTGGGATGCCTTCTTGGGTCTAAAGATTTTCCCCGAGAAGTTGAAGATGGTGACTACCCCTCTACAAGGCTTTGGAGAAGCAATAGTGATATCGAAAGGAACTGTGGAGCTTCCAGTTACGCAAGGCACATATCTAGCGACAGTGGTGATTGTGACTAACTTCTTGGTTATCAAGACCCCCATAGCCTACAATGCCATCTATGGCTGGCCATTGCTAAATGCAGCTGGTGCTGTCCCATCAACCTACCATCAAGTTATGAAGTTCCCAACTAGCAGAGGAGTCGGGTGCGTGCGAGGGGACCAGCATGAATCAAGGAAATGCTATGTAGATAGTATACAGGCTAAAGGCTCACCACCAATCATGGTGCTGGATGTGGAACTCCCAAGGGGACGAATTGAGCCGCTTCATATGACTGAAAAAATCTTTATAGCCGAGGGGCGGGGGTTTAGTGTTGGAACAGGTCTAGAATTCGAAGAGAAGGAAAAATTAACAAAATGTCTAGCCAGTAACTTGGACGTTTTCACTTGGGGCCTAGAAGACATCCCAGGGATTAGCCCAATCATCGCGCAACATCACCTCGGTGTCCAACTAGGGGCTAAGCCAATGAAGCAGAAAAAAGAAATTTTGCCCCTGAGAGGCAAGCCACAGCCAAAGCAGAGGTAGAAAAATTGCTACAGGCAGGTTTTATTCGAGAAGTGCAGTACCCCGAGTGGTTGGCAAACATTGTACTTGTGAAGAAGTCAAACAGAAAGTGGGGCATGTGTGTAGATTATACTGGCTTGAACAAGGTATGCCCAAAAGACTCATACCCACTTCCCGGGATATATCACCTGGTGGGTGCTACATCGGGTCATGAAAGGCTCAGCTTTCTAGATGCATTTTTCAGGTACAATCAAATCTCAATGGTAGAGTCCGATTAGGAGAAGACATCATTTATCATAGACTTTGGCACATACTGTAATGCCCCGACCCCTAGTGGACCGGAATGCTACTTACTTTACTTAGATTAATCGGTGGTTTAGTAACAAGTGTATACATTTTAGCGGAAGCTTACATCTTCGGATAATAATTTAAATAACAATACTTCAAATACTTTAAACCAAAAACACTGAATCATTTTTCAAAACAACAAAATGTAATTTATTTGAAGAAAACATAACTTGTTCTTGCATTCTGCGTTATTCAAAACTTTAAAGAAATAACATTGAAAAACATTTCATAAAAATAAATCCAAATCACTTATTCACCGGATTTCCATGGGCTCGTTGCATCACTCTCTATCTTCTTCTCCATCCATGCCCGAGGTAGAATTCCTTCAATCTGTAAAGATAGGATTAAACCCGTGAGTTGAAAAACTCAATAGGTGTCATAGGTGCATTCGTGGTCAACCTGTACATTTCAAAACATTAACTTTATAACTTTTCATACATGCCGTACCCGGAGGCACCATTTGACATGAAGGGGTATGTCGTACCCGAGGGCACCATTTAACATACGAACATTTCTTCAACATAGAGGGGTATGCCGTACCGGAGTATCATTTGACATACAACCATTAACATAGAGGGATATGTCGTACCGGAGTACCATTTGACATACAAATATTAACATGAATCGAAACTTATAACTTAACACGATTAAACACATTGCACCTCTACCTACCTTGATTGATGCTTTTGAAACTTTGAGAACTTGGATTGAAAACTTCGATGAAACTTGGACGTTGAAAGAAATGCACTCCTTGGATGTTTGAAAACCGTTGAGAATTGATGCTTGAAAACACTTCTTAAACTTTTAGGAAAAATAGTTTTCCTCCCTCTCTTTTTCTCTCTTGGAAACTCTTTCTTTAGTATGTAAAAGCTCTTGCTTTTGGTGTGAGAAAAAATAAGTGAAATGAGGTCTCTATTTATAGGTAAATATCCCATAACTTAAAGCAAATGAAGGGTCAAATTTCATTTAAGAGAGAAAACATGGGTGCCATTTAATTTTGAGGTTAAATGCTTCAATTTAGTGGGGTTTTTATTGCCAAAAATGTGGGTGGCCCTTTGAGAAAATAATTGATGAAAATAAATATTTAAATTCTAGAGAAAAACGAGAATTTTCATTTCAGGCAGTTTCGGTCGACCGGTTGTAGTCCGGTCGACACTGCACAACCTTCGGTATTTTTATCATAACTTCTTCTCCCGATATCCGATTGAGGTAATTCAAAGTGAGTTGGAAAGCTAACTCAAAGAGCTACAACTTTTATTTAGATATCATTTTCCAAATGGAATGTTTCCTATGTCGAAAATGGGTCTCAAATAAGACTAAAAATCTGAAGTACAATATTCATGTCTTAGTGCCACTAAGGTGTCTAGAATCATTTGGGGTTCTATATCCCCCACACCTTAATTAAAATTTCGTCCTCGAAATTTACGTTCTGATTGGACGAATAGTGTTGGATACTTGTCTTTGGCTTCTTCTTCTTTTTCCCAAGTGGCTTCTTCTACGTCGTGATGATTCCACTGTATCTTAACCAGCTGAATCTCTTTATTCTTTAGTATATGCACTTTTCGATCCAATATCTTGATCGGTAGTTCCTCGTACGACAAATCTTTATGTACCTCCAAGGTTTGATAACTCACTACATGATTAGGATCATGTACATACTTCTTTATCATCGATATATGGAACACATTGTGCATTGCCGATAATTCAGGTGGCAAAGCTAGTCGGTAAGCCACATTTCCGACTCTATCAAGTATCTCGAAAGGTCCGATATACCGGGGTCGTAGCTTGCCTTTCTTTCCAAATCTAAGTATACCTTTCATCGGTGCTACTTTCAGAAACGCTTTATCCCCAACTTGGAATGCTAAATCGTTCCTCCTTGTATCTACATAGCTTTTTTGTCGATCATGTGCTGCCTTTATTCTTGCACGAATCTTATCGATTACATCGACCGTCCTTTCAACCATTTCTGGTCCCAAAACTCTCTTCTCTCCGACTTCATCCCAATGAACAGGGGATCTACATTTTCTACCATAGAGAGCTTCGTATGGTGCCATTCCAATAGTTACTTGGAAACTGTTATTATAAGCGAACTCTACTAGAGGTAAGTATGACTCCCAATTACCTCCTAGATCCAAAACACATGTTCTCAGCATATCTTCCAAAGTTTGGATGGTCCTTTCAGACTGACCATCGGACTGAGGGTGATATACTGTACTAAAGTTCAGTTTCGTTCCCATAGCGCCTTGTAGACTTTTCCAAAATTTGGATGTGAACCTTAGGTCTCTGTCAGACACAATGAATACAGGTACACCGTGTAATCTCACGGCCTCTTTAATGTACAACTGTGCCAATTGGTCTAAACTGAATGTCATTTTCATTGGAAGAAAATGAGCTGACTTCGTTAGTCGATCCACTACTACCCATTTATCATTATTTCCTCTTGCTGACTTCCGAAATCCAACCACAAAATCCATCGTGATATTTTCCCATTTCCATTCAGGTATATCTAGTGGATTTAACAATCTAGCTGGTTTTTGGTGTTCTACCTTAACCTGTTGACATACCATGCACTTCTGCATGTACAACACTATACTTCTTTTCATATTTCTCCACCAAAATGTATCTCGAAGATCTCGATACATTTTCGTACCACCGGGATGTGCGGTGTACAGGGTGGAATGAGCTTCTTTCAATATCTCGTTTCTCAAGGCTTCATCCTTAGGCGCGCAAATTCTTCCTCTAAATATCAGTGCCTGATCCTCAGCCACTCCAAAGTCCTTTTTCTTATCGGTACCAACTTCATTCTTAATCTTCCGCAAAAATGAGTCTTTATTTTGTGCTTCTATAATTCGATCTCTAAGAGTAGGTCGAATTATTAAAACTGCTAGACGAGCAGTGACTTGTCCTGGTGTGGTAACCACTTCGATCTGCAACTTTTCCAAGTCCTTGACTAACTCCACCTAAGAGGTGGGTAGTGATGTCAATTGTCCCATTGATTTTCTACTTAGATCATCGGTCACAACATTAGCCTTACCCAGATGGTAGTGAATAGTACAGTCGTAATCGTTCACCAATTCCAACCATCGTCTTTGTCGCATATTCAATTCCTTTTGTATGAAGAAATATTTGAGACTTTTGTGATCTGTGTAGATATCACACTTTCGTCAATACAAGTAGTGTCGTCATATCTTCAAAGCGTGTACTACCACTGCAAGTTCTAAATCATGCATCGGGTAGTTCTGCTCATGTTTCTTCAATTGTCTTGAAGCATAGGCTATCACTTTTCCATTCTGCATCAGTATACATCCCAATCCTCGCTTGGATGCGTCGCTGTATATAACAAACCCTTCCGTACCTTCAGGTATTGTTAATACAGTTGCTGATATCAACTTCTGCTTAAGTTCTTGGAAACTTTGTTCGCATTTTTTCGTCCATTGGGATTTTACTCCCTTCCTTGTAAGCTGCATCATTGGTCCAGCTATTTTGGAGAATGCTTCTATGAATCTCCTATAATATCCAGCCAATCCTAGAAAACTCCGTACTTCGCCAGCATTTGTTGGTGCTTTCCAGTTGGTTACTGCTTCTACTTTTGTTCGATCTACTTCAATCCCTTGCGCAGTAACTACATGTCCAAGAAATTCAACTCGTTCAAGCCAAAACTCGCACTTCTTGAATTTGGCATACAGCTTCTCCTTGCGTAATACCTCTAAGGCTATTCTCAAGTGATCTTCATGTTGCTCCTTATTCTTGGAATATATCAGAATGTCATCGATGAAGACTATGACAAACTTATCCAAGTATTAATGAAACACTCGATTCATCAGGTCCATGAACACTGCAGGTGCATTGGTTAGCCCAAACGGCATCACCGTAAACGCGCAGTGTCCATATCGAGTTCTAAAAGCTATCTTAGGTATATCCTTTATCTCTACTTTTAGTTGATGGTATCCCGATCGTACGTCGATCTTGGAAAATACCTTAGCTCCTTTCAGTTGATCTAACAGATCCTCGATCCTCGGGAGTGGGTACTTATTCTTGATGGTTAATCGATTTATCTCCCTATAATCGATGCACATCCTCATGCTTCCATCTTTCTTCTTTACAAACAACACTGGCGCACCCCATGGAGATACGCTTGGTCGTATGAAGCCCATATCTAGGAGTTCTTGCAACTGCTTCTTTAATTCTTGTAGTTCCTTTGGGGCCACTCGGTATAGGGCCTTAGATACTGGTGCCGTCCCGGGAATTAGGTCTATGGTAAATTCCACTTGTCTATCGGGTGGAATACCAGATAGATCTTCTGGAAACACATCTACGAATTCTCGTACTACTGGTACATCTTCTAGATGGTATCCCGATCGTACGTCGATCTTGGAAAATACCTTAGCTCCTTTCAGTTGATCTAACAGATCCTCGATCCTCGGGAGTGGGTACTTATTCTTGATGGTTAATCGATTTATCTCCCTATAATCGATGCACATCCTCATGCTTCCATCTTTCTTCTTTACAAACAACACTGGCGCACCCCATGGAGATACGCTTGGTCGTATGAAGCCCATATCTAGGAGTTCTTGCAACTGCTTCTTTAATTCTTGTAGTTCCTTTGGGGCCATTCGGTATTGGGCCTTAGATACTGGTGCCGTCCCGGGAATTAGGTCTATGGTAAATTCCAC